GCTCTAAATGACTTTGGATAAAACTGAACTTTGAGTTTTGATTCGTTATTTCTATAAACGAGATCTTTCTGCAGAACTTTTTTAACAACCTAATGCAATTTTCAGTAGAATTAAGGTATCTAATAAAGCAATATTTTTAGCAATACATTGTTAGATTAGAAAACATACAAAAGTTTAAGTAAAAAGGAATTCTTTATGTAAAAAGGAATGTTGTGAATTTAAAAGGAATGTTAGGTTTATCTGAAAGGGAATTCATTTATTCATGTCTACATCGATAAAAATTTATGTAAAAATAAATTAATGTATTTCTAAACGTTTCTAAACGCATCGAACATTTTTTAAACTTGCGACACACATAATTTCGTGATACAAAAAAGGTCAATGTATATTTTATAAACATTTTAGGTACATTATTATGAAACGATTACTGGAAAAATACCTGGAAAATACGATAGATCATTTTTTTTGACCAATCATTTCGTTATAATATTTAAAAAAAAGGATTTAAGTTATAGTCACTTCTTTTACAAATTAAAATTAAAAGAATATAAAGAATAAATAAAAAATATATGTATAAATATTTTTTTAAAGGAGTTATTATTTATTATCCAAATATAAATAGACGGATGATGTAAAAAATTATTGCTCCTTGAAAAAGACAAAGTAATAATTTCCATAAATAATAAACACATTTTTGCTTGAAAAAAAGTAAAGTAAAATTAATAGAAATAAACATTAAGCTTTAATTAAAAAAATTTTTTTTGTTAAATAAATTTTACAGTATGATACACATTGCATAAAAACTACACTACTTCAAATAAAACATAAACTTTCTTTATTAAATAAAATAAAAATATTACACTGCCTAAATATAATATTTGAACAAAATTTGCAGTAAATATTTTTTTTTAAATTTAGCCGAAGATTTTTAATGTTAAAACAAAAGCAAAATAATTTTCAAATTCAATTTTACAACCAAACATTTTGTTCATGTAGTAAAACATTTTATCTTTATTTATTAAAGAAAAGTGTAACATTAAAGTTGACATAGTTTTCATACAATGCCAATCAAACTGGAAATAGAAGAAATAATTTTAAATTTTTCCAATTCTCATTAAAAAAAATTTATTCTCAGAATTTTTTTTTTTTTTTTTTTTTTGCAAAAGTGTACTTTTAGTTTGATAAAAAAAATGTGTTAAATGTTTGTTTTTTTTAAGTTTTAGAATTATTCCAATATTTTAACTGAACGAAATTTCAACCCACCCCATCCTTGCGAACCTTCTGATGCAATTAACATCCTGTAAATGCATGGGTTCATACAATCTTCTGTTTAGTTATAATGTTTAATTAATGCAATTTTGCTTCGTTATTCAGGACAGTCTCAGAATATTCAAGAAGATTTATTACTTAAACTCAAACAGTCTTGAACTTATTTTTGAGAATAAAAATATTGGCAAGAAAATTCGAAATGGATGGGGGAAAAAACTTCTTTAATTCCCCTATTATCAAATGTTGAATTTAAATTTTATTTCACGTTCACTATATTTCAAAAACAGTCGATAATTTCCAAAGGAAGAAACACATTAAATCACAGAGGACCATTTTAAAAGAATACGAATATCAGAAACTCGTTTTCCATCATGGAATAGTTTGCATAAGAAGGAAGTTTTTATCGTCTTTCTTCAGAATGAGAAAGAAAATGGAATATTTCTCTCGCGATTCATCGATTTCAGATTCATCAAAACGATGATGAGAAAAGAAAAGCGTGTAACATACCCACGATTACAATTATCGCTATGTCGCAGCCCTGCAGTATCGATTCCATCCAAAAGAGAAGGATTATCGTTTGTCAGCACGGCGACAACTAAACTCCTATCGTTTTAAGTTCGACACTAATACCAGACACACGAAGGATCTTCTATGAAAAAATTGCACGATCTTTTGGATTTTTTCCCCAGTAAACATAGGGTTGGCGTATGTCAAAAAAGTAAGACCAAATCTCCAAAGTACAATAGAGGCAAAAATAAAGTGGCAGACGTAGATATAGAAAGTGAAAAGAGATCTAGCGCTAAAAAGCGAACAACTAAACAGTTAGGAAAAAGGGAGTCTGTCCCCCGACAGATTAATCCTCCATCATTAATTTCTTCCTTTTGCAGTCGTCAACTAACGGATGGTCGTTAAGTCCCCGATCCACGTGACTTTCCCAGCATCCTCTGCACCATTCGTTTCTTTCCCTTAAGCCCCCCAAAATGATGCCTGGCTTTATTTCTAGTGACTATTTCCATACGGTTTTTTTATAGCTTGATTGACTTTTTCTTCCTTCACATTTGATTACAAAGAGTAGTTGTGATTATTTTATATCTTCTTGGCTTAACTTTTAGCTAACTTCAAATATCTTGACTAGTGTCACGGTGAATTGATTGCAAGTGTTTTTTAATGTCAAGGACCACTGTCTAGTATACATTTGCCTGGTATACCCAACACTGATTTTATACGGTTAAGTGCCATTTCTCCCGCTATTCCCTATACTGACCCCAACAAGGTGAAGGGTGGTTTTTGTGGTCCCGAATTCGATCACCGCTATTTGGCAATTTTTTAACGGTCTTCTTTAAAGGAATACTACCGTCTCCCCCTCCTTTTTATTACATAGGTTTAGCCCAAAAAAATCATTGGTATCTACTATATTCAAGCAATTTTAGCCACAGGACCACCTTATTAGAGTATCTGTATCTTAGTGAATTATTATAATGCCGGGTTCTTTAATAATTTAAGAATTAAGCTTTTTAGGAGTTTAATTCCAATTCCAAGCATCACATTTTTTGCAGTAAAAATAAATAATTAAATAAATTTTTATTACATTTATTTTTAAATTACTGTTTGATCCAAAAAAAAAATTTATATCATATATATTCATGCACTACTGAAAATGAAACATCTAAATATTTTATATTATAAAAGAATATAATGCTTGAACTATATATAATTACAGCAAATAAATGTTTCACTGTTTCGGGTTATAAATTATGAAAAATTGACCAATTAATAAACTTGGTAGCAAACGTAAATATACATTTGTCGTGGCATTATCTTATCTATTCCTTTCTGGAAAATCTTTTACCTATCTAATATGGGGGACTTATTTCTTTCTCTTTTTTTTCACACCGTCGTAGGCTCTTATTTGATTTTCAGAAGAGCCGATTCACCCTGTTCCATAATGCATTTCCGAGTCAGCGTCTCTGATTGGTTAGCTCAGTATACAACAATTTCCCGCCAACTATCAGGGCGCGAAAAGTCCTCGAGAAGCAACTAATTTCGAGTGGAGATAAGCTGCAATTCTCCTGCTTTTGCTGTAAGGAGATAACAGAAAATAGAATGTAACCTCGTTCTAGTGTCTTGAAACCTATTCTAAAGATAAGAGTATTAAGTCCCTCGTAAATTACGCGACAAAAGCGTAAAAATGCACATTATGTCGAGTAAGGGGTGTGTCAATGCTTGCCGCCAAAAGTAAAGTGTCTCAACTCAGTTTCAAGATAAAAGAAGGCTTCTAATCCGAGTTATATCCAGCTTAGAACTCTCTCTGTTCAGACCGAAAAGCTACTATATAAGTAATTATAGGTTCAAGGCCCTTTATGGGTGCACGCTAAACAATGTAATTAATATACGATAGTGGCAACTTCTTCTGCTAAACGGCTTGTTCCGAAATTAAGAATATTCAAAAGAGGGGGGAATTCCGTTGAAAGATTACAGAACGTTCTGGAAGATAAGTTCCGTTATTTTGAAAACGGCTTATCTCTTGTAATTTTGAAAGGATAAGTGTTCTTTAAAAGAACACTTTGTAAAGAAAGTGGAGATATAGTTTAAATAAACAGATAGCTTGGTAATAATTAATAATTCTCCCTTGTCTTGAAGCGTTGAGTGTGTTAAGAATAAAGGGCACATTTAAATTAGAAAGATAAAAGGTTGGATTTTTCGCAACAACAATAATCTTTTCAATTTAAAAAACTAGTTTTATATAAAATTACTTATTTATTCCAAAGCTCTAGTAAAATGTAGGCATGATATTTTAAACTTTTATATTTATACACAATTTAATTTATAATTAATATTTTCACTAATTGAAAAGGAATTATTTTATTTTTAAAATTTTTTTTCCCTTTTTATCCTCAAATTACGAATGAGGTTTTAAACTTCAGGTCTAACAAATTTTTACCAGTAGTAAAGGAAATTAAAGTCATGTTTTTTTGTAACGTTTAAATTAAAGTTAAATAACGTAAATAAAAGTTAGGTTTTTTTAAGTTCATTACCTTTCTGTTGTTCTCATAAATAAAACTTGCAAATCTACATTTGTTTTCAAAATAACCTTTTGTTGTTGCAATGAAATTATTAAAATTAAATCTGAGATTACAACATATGGTTGAGAAACAACAGGAATTTTTAATAAAATTAATAAAAAGGGAGAAAAAAATATGATTAAACTCACGTATTACAATGAGGCAGAGTTTATCAATAACAAATTTACTTGAATTTGTTTGCAGAATGAATAAATAATATGTAACAAAGAAAAAAATAATAAAAGTTAATTTTAAACAAAATTATTTTACATTTAAAAATAAATTTATACTGAAATTAATTTGAATATTTGGTTGATAAAAATAAATGTATTAATTACAGACAAAGTTTTTATTGTTTGCGTAACTTTCAAAGAGTAAATATTTTAATTTATCATAATAGAATAATATTAAAATTCTATTTGCTGTAAAATTCACTTGGCAAATCATTGAAGAGCAAAATGTAATTATGTTGGTATTTTATATGTATTACGAGCGTTTATCATGAAAGAATTTACGAAATACACAATTATTCAAACTGAAATGGATTTAATCAAAAATATTAAATAACAATTTGAAATTCAAAATTCAATAATAGTCATGTGCAATAGAGAGTCACAGCAAAAATATGAAGCTTAACTACATCATTACTGACAAATGAGTCATAATTACCACACTTCTTGAGCATAGGGTTCACAAAGACGATCTTCATAATAGGATAAAGGGAAAGCAGCTATGTTGCCACCGCTCTAAAACTAAAACACTCTTCATAAAACGCATTATTTTCACCTTGGAGTTGCTAATGTGCTTTTCACGGCAAAGGCTTGGCCACCATAACTTGGATCCCTTTCTTCATGGTCTTCAGGCGTAAGGGAAAAAGCAAAAGGCGATTACAGTAAAGACCGAAAAATCCAACTGGGTGGTCACCTATACAGGAACTTGACCATCTTGGTGGTCCCTGAGAGAGGGCTTAAGTCCTTGAAGACCGACCACAAATCTGAAGGGTTCCCCCACTTTTGAGAAAAAGATTACAGGTTACTTGACTACCTTCTTCGTTTTATATGATCATGACGTCATCTAGGTAAGTTTTTTTTAGTAGTGTTTTTTTTTATAAAGGTTGATGAGTGTGCTTACTGGGTGTTCTCGGCTTCAGGTAATGTTCTGAAGTCAGTCCGTCAAAATAAGGTCCATGACATTCATTGTTTATTCTGCTCATGCTCATTGTTTGATGGAAAACGTGAAAGAATATTGACTTGTATAAGGAATTGATGGACATTGTTGAGTCAGATGGGATAGTTTAATTAGCTCTGAGATGTTTAAAATTATTCTATGATTTATTGTGTCCGATAAAATTATTGAAGTGAATCTGCAATCATCAATTATAAAGGCAGATTTTTCCGGCTCAAGATAAATATTTAATAAAAACTGATTGAATAAATCATCGTTTTCAAATATAATATTTGTTTCCTTTAGTTTGCTTTAAATAAAAGGCATAAAATATTTAAAAAACGCAATTTTTAAATTCTTAGTTTTGAACTTTTGTATCCATTTAAACTCATTTCCGTCTTCAAAATGCTGTTATTTAATTTTGCATGAAATGTCAAATTATGCGGTATGTTATCCTGGAAAATTAAACTTGGCTGAATTATTAGTAGAGATAAGCCTATTTTTTTTGTTAATAAACAAGCACTTTGTTTTGATCCCATATAAATAGAAATACCAGATTACAATGACTCTCAAATGCTTTAAAGAAGGTGGACTGTGGTTTCTTGTAAGATTGTGGTTCAGCCGATTTTGAGTGACCATGACTTTTTCTTTATTATCAGTGCCTGGCCAGCCAAGGGGAATTCACAAATTTTAATAAGTAATACGAATTTGAATCAAATTTTATTCGAAACACTTTTAACGAAAGAACGGTAATACTTATGATTGACTCAAAAGTTAAAATGCTTTTGTTTATTTATAAAGTAACAGTAACAAGTCATTTTCCGTGTTAAACATTCATAAAATGAATCTTAATAAATTTATTACTTTAATATTTACATAAGATACTTATTTTGAAAAACATTTACGGATTCAGAAGTCAAATACTTTAATCAATTTGCATGTATCGATTAAGTCTAAGGTTGAAAAAAACATTAAAACCTTTTTATTGGAATTGACCCAGTTCTAAAGAAGTTAAGTTAGATAAACGATTTTGAAAGAAATACGCACTATATTTTTGGTGTTGATTAATGAGTATAAGTGCAAATTCGCATCGACTAGGGAAGTTGGCACGAACTCCGCCAAATTGACACCAAATCGTTTCATATTGCAACCAGTGCATATTTAATGAAAATCAAACTAAACTAAAAACTAAAATGAACTAAACTAAAATCTTAGAACACACGATTGAAAACTTTTGTGGCACAATTTATTTGCAAAAATTACTAGACATAAATGCACCTTAAATTTACCATATTTTAAGAAAAAAAAATCATTTCAATGAAACTTTTCAAAAAATAACCACCTATTTAAATTTTTTTGGCCAGAAATCGTCTTGTTTGGCGCCAGTTTTTGGTTTTGGCAAAATAATCGACGGAATTTTTCACAAGTACCGATTAATGTTAATAAATTGTTTAAAATGTTGTTCTACAAAAATTCATTATATCTGACCGAATTGTGTAGTAAAAAATATTTTTTATACCATATTTACTATCAATACTCATTTAATAAGTATTAAAATGTTATAAGTATATAATCATTTTAATAAGTATTAAAATGTTGTATTATATAAGTCTAAGTAATTTTTGTCACCTTGCGTATACTATACAATTGATAGAGAGCTATATCATCTCCTTGCTATGTGACTAACACATGTTAAGGGGAAAAACAATTTCGACATTCAAAATCTTAGCAAATCGCGAATTTGTATGCTGCATGTCAAATTTGCAGTATCGAGATATTCAACCAAAAATTCACCGAACAGTTCACCGTAAAAAAAAACAAGCATTTACATAATATACTGCCCTGACAAATAAAAACATAATAAACATTTATTATATCACATTCATGCACTAGCATGAAGAAAAAACTACTTTTATAAACCCTAAACCAACTTACAAAGTTAGAATGATTTAAATATCTTTTTATATTATGCAAAACAGACAGAATCCGCTATTTTATACAAGACAGACATTTCAAGAAAAGCGTCTTCAAAAATTCTTTTTTCTTCCTTGTCACATAAACGCTAAGAATTTGGCGATATATTTTTTACAAAATATGCCAACTTACCAATATGCGTTTTTAGTGAAGGAAAATAAACAAACACTGGTCAAGAAAGGGAAAGTATATGGGAGTAAATAAGAGGGAAAAACTATTGGATTTCAAAGACACGTGCTCCTTTATATCTTCCCTTTTCAGTGGCAGTTCTCCGCAAGAAAATTCAAGAAACTGGAGAATTTTGGAGGAAAAAGTATAAAAAAGAGGGAGTTCCAGACGCACACAAAATGGACACACAGCTATAAAATCCCCACATAAAAACTCCAAAAAGAAGGAGCGTTATTGAAAAGAGTGGACGCTTTTTTTTCCTGTTCACCATTTTATATATCTGTATTTATATACTTGAAGGAAAATAAAAAACAGCTAAAAGTGAAAATAAAAGGAATGAAAAATTCCCTTTTTTTGACTTTTTCCCTACTGAGATTCGGGTCTCGAGGATTGCTGACCGCAACATCAAAGGGACTTTGATTTCTTGAACAACTGCCAAGATGAAAATGTAGATTTATCTATTTATTATTTTTTTTTTCTATTTATTTATTTGAAATGTTAAGAAATGCAAAATATCTGAATATTTTTGGAGAAAAGTTGAGGGATCTTTTTTCACGCCAATTTATATTTAAGGAATGTATACTGCATCGTACTAAATCCAATTGAATTTTTATTCGATAAATGTTATAAAAAAAACATTTATAATAGTTTTTTGTGAGAAAATTAAATTAAAAAAATAAAAACATTTAATTATTTTTTTTTATTTTTATCTTCAATTAAGTTATTTAAAAGTCAATTATGGGTTAATTAACTTAAGTAATTACTTATAATTATTATCACTCATAAATGCGCATTTATAGAAAGATTTCATTCATAAAATTTTCTCTTTTTTTTCTTTTATATTTTATTTTGCATAGCAAATAATTACTATGATCATGCAAGAATAGCATGATAATGCAACTTTTTTTTAAACTTTTATAAATATTTATACCTTTGTTAATTTATTTTACTTCTTATGTATAAAATCATTAAAGAAAAACATCATACGAATATTATTCAGGCATATTACTTTTTTACAAAAATATTACTCCAGAAAATTTCAGAATCAAGAAACCATTCTAGGAAAAATAGAACGAAGCTACTTCATATCCTATTTTCCCTGAAGGCGAAAATAGAATTAATATTTTCCCGTTTTTCCCAGTTTCACTTAAAACGACAAGAAGGAAAAGGAAATTTTGCTATTTTTTTTAACGCCAAAGCTTTTCCGGGTTTAATTTTCCCGCGTACTCATCATCCTTCATCCTGTCATCGTTCATCAATTTTCATCCCCCAGGGCCATTGTTTTCCAATTCGTTGTTCCAGAAATTTCTAAAATCCCTTTCATCCCCTCGTTATCGTGGAACGAGAGTAAATAAAAATGAAAAAGAAGCGAAACGCCAAACAAATAAAAGTCTTCCGCGTAAACTTTAAATTTGTTCGAAGGCGGACCACTTCACACGCTTTTACCTCACCCTCCATCTCCCAGCAGCTTTACTATAACAATAGCCATCCATCCTTTAATTAATGCTCACTCTGGGCAGTTTCTCTTCTTCTCCAGTTAACGTTGATTAAACGTCTTTAACCCTCGACGTTTGAAAAATGTCGGAGTGCTTGTCAAGTAGGCTGCTAAGTGCCTTGAACACTTACTCAAAATCATAGTGCTCGTTATAAGTCAATCGATTATAGACAACAAACAAAGAATATGCAATTATTTCTTTTGAAATATTAGTTTTACAAGAAAAGAAATTCATCCGTATACTTTGAAGAAATATTTTAGAGAGTTATTCATCATCCGCAGCATAGTTCTATGGCAAACAAATTAAAATGTTTCATTTAAAGCCATTTTATTTTTAGTTTCATAAGAACAAATTTTAAGGATAAAGGTCAAACAGAAAGTAAATTTATCACCATTAAACAGGCTTCGCGCTAAGCATTCGCCACCTCGCCAAAAGTGGCAAAATCGTACATTTGGCGAATAGAATTGTGTTTTGGACTAAAGTATTGGCGAATGATTTTTTCCACTAGAAAGGAAAATAGATGGAAAAAAATTGCCCTTATTTGAATTTGGCTTTCGAAAATTGGCGAATACTTTTGATAATTGGCTAATAATTTGAAATCCTTAGCGCGGAACTTACATTGAACTGAATTAATGTCTCGTTATTTCTCGCTTAATATAAATAGCAAAGATGAGTGTTGTATTTCGGACCACATATACTTCAGAAGAGTGATTACAACAGCGCCACCCAGTGGAGGAATTTTGAATGTGTCGTTCATGCTTTAATTTTAATTTTTTTTAGTTATTAAGTAGTTTTTCTACAAACACCTTGATTGGAAAAAAAATCCAGTAGTACCTATCTTTGAAAACAGAACTAAGGTAGATAAGCACCAAAATATCATTCGCTTTAAAATAAGTGCCACATTCTTTTAGAAAAAAATTGTTTCTGTTAAGTTCAGCAAAATAAAAAGAAAAAATCATTCATGTTATATCTTGGACCATAATATTATGGAACCTTCGATTTTTTCAAGATATGCGGACTAGTCCACATTCTAATGATATAATGTTTAAGATTAATATGGTTTATTTTACCTTATTCTGGCTACTTGAAAAATATATTTCGCTTCAGTATATATCTAAGCTTAATCATCCAACAAGCTTAAAAAAAGAATTCAAAATGAGTAACATGCAATGATGGTGTGTGGTACAATATATGGTGCTCAAATAAGGTACAAAACCAAATTGTACCTTGCGCCAAATTTCCTTAATTGAAAGAAAAATTTATTTTTAATAATATGACAAAATTTGTGCATAAAAATTATATTAATGGTCAAACGTATATGATATTGCTTTGAAAATTTCTCAGTTATTTGAATTATTATTTTCTGCAGAAAGTTCAAGGTTCAAAACACAACATTTCTCCACATTTGTTTTTCATTAAAACGTTTTTAACGAAGAGATTCAAAACCATTAATTACTTTGGTATGATATTGCATACTTATAAACAAAAATTAAATTAAGTTGAGTATTAATTACTAAAACTGTACAAAGTATTTAAGAAATCCATTTATCGCGTTAGTATCACTCGTGAAAATTACGAAAGATTTCCAATAAATAATACACTCATTCTCATATATGCACTGAGAAAAAAAATGAGGTCAAAAATACCAGAGAGTGTAAAAATTTATCGT